TATAGTTGGATCATTTTACAAAAGTTAATAGTGATAACGTCACATGCATAACACCAGTAGCAATAGGTTCCATAAAGCCAGAATAATTTATCCTTCTGAAAACAGAAAATATTTATTCTGTAGGTACTCAGATAACGTTCAAAATCAAACAGCCATGGATGCCATTTCTGTACTTCCTTATTGGATCTAACATGTAACTCCAGAGTCTGAGAAGAAAACCATGCTTTAAGTAAATAGCTAGTATGGATGACTTTTAAATCTTACTTTCATTGAGCACATTGAACATCTTAATATTCTGGGAGTTATAATTCAGCAACATCTGGAGTGCCAATTTTTCCTCCACTTCTGACTTACAAGATACACACAGAATTAAGCTCCATTGATTTATTATGGAACTAGCCTGCTTGTAAACCTGATAAGGATTGTAGCCCTAGAATAAATTGAATACATAATCATACAGCAAAATAAAACAAAACAGACACTCATAGTTTAAAATGTGAATGGCACCATTATTGTGTAGTTCACCCGACAAATGTGATAAAATGATATAAAGCTGCTAATTCTTGAACTTGAATGAAAGGTGCAGTCCCAATGTTTATCATTTCCTATATTAAATTTAATATCTAGGCTGGAACTGTGTATAAAAAATAACCGACTCCATAAGTTGATGGAAGTTGTTTTGTCATTTTGACAACTTATACTACATGGATAACTTTCTTTTTCTGTGTGCTGCATTTTAAAGATAATTATGTAATCTGTGCAAATAGTTAAGAATCTAAGCTAAACATTGTAACTTCTGAAGTACAGAATTATTTTAAATATGTTAAGTATTTAAGTATTTTTCCAAATTGTGTCAATCTGTTTCAAGTGCACAACTGTATTAAAAATAAAATAAAATTCCTCACTATAATTACTTATTTTCCTGACCATTTTAAATATTTGGTAGATCCTCTGTTTGCAAAATATGTTCAATTCCAAGAAATAATTGCTCTTAAGAATGAATAATCACAAAAAAAATTGTTGGTTATAGACTTGACATGTCCCTAGTTTTATTATTGGTGAGCTAGAATAGCCTACCTGAAACCACAGCCTTCCAGATGAGCTAGAACCAATATTCAGACCTTCAGGCCACAATGACTACTAGACATATATAGAAGGCTTCAGTTTAGCATGATATATATACATCATCATATAGCCGATTGGCATGCAAGAACTCCCAGTATTGCCAGCTGAGAGGTTTGGGGATTACAGGAACAATCCTAAACTTCCAAGTCAGGAATGGACAACAGTGATTATAGTTGCATCTATTGGGCTGTAATAATCTGTTTACTACTGAGAGGTGTAATTTGATTTCCTTCATTGTAACTGTGTCAGAAAACTCTTCAAAACCTGGCCCGTGAATATAGTTTTTTTGTGTTTACTTTGAAGGTCCATTTCAAATCAGCTGCTGGCAACAATTTAATAGAACAATCAGATCCTAAACCATTTTCAAAAGTTAGACTCAGTATGAAATGAAACCATTTTGTAGCCTGGAGTTTCAAGTAATATCAATTTGTCAGTATCTATTATTTAGAATATCCCAAAGATGTTCTTCAAGAGGCAACTGGACTTTCTGGCTTTTCATTGAAGATGTTTCACTTCTCATCCAAGAAGCTTCTTCAGTTCTGACTGGATGGTGGGAAATGGAAGGATTTATACTCCTTGAAGACAGTTGGTCATTTGTCTGGTCAGGTGTCTGCAAGGAGTATAAATTCTTCCATTCCTCACTATCCGGTCAGAGCTAAAGAAGCTTGTTGGATGGGAAATGAAACATCTTCAAAGAAAACCCAGAAAGTCCAATTGCCTCTTAAAAAAGCACCTTTGGGACAACCATAAACTGGATGTCGGAGAATCTCCATGGCCATTTAACTATTTAGAATACTTTCTAAATATTGAAGACAATATTTGCGAATTGAGAACTTTTTTTTTTTTTTTTTACAATTTAGAGGGCTTTACACATTCACATGTAATTTGGTTTCTGTATTGGCAAAGGTTTGCAAACACTAATTGCAACATATTTTGTTCTGCTTCCATTAATCCAGTCTTGGGACAAAACAACATGGTTAGGGAAGAAAAATGGAGAAAGAATTCATATTATAAAAAATCCCAGATGATGGTAAGTGAAAACAAATGTAACTCTTAAACTAAAAAATAAATATATATCCAGGTACCAAAGAGCAAAATTTAATGAAAGCCAAAACTGTTAAATATGGATTCTTGTTGAGAAAATGTCAATGTCTTTACGGGTTCCCCAATCCCCATTATTCTATATTTAAGAAAAGTGTAGTAAAAATACATATTACAAGTTAACATTTCCCCAACTTCTTCAACATTACTCTTTCTTTCCTCCCACCCTTTCATTGATCAAAAAACATTTTAAAGATGAGTCCTATTATCCATGTCCTATTATCACAGTCTTTGTCCTTCTACACATTCATTTAACTGGCTGGTACAATTGTTAGGCATGCCACTGATACTTTCTGCTTCAAATACTTTGCATTTCTTTAAATTTCATGGGGCTTTTTGTTTTTTGTTTTGGGACCACACAAAAAGAAATTCTTGCACTCTGCTTAAATTGGGTTTTAAGGTGGAAGATAGTTGCAGGAACTTTTAAAGTTCTTGAGACTACCAGAAATATCAGATTGTCCTTGACACTCAAAAGTTCTCTTAACAAAAAAGCAGGTTCGGTTTAGTGAATTTGGTGCACCATAAATACATACACAGAATTAAACTCAAAATATAATCAAAAGCAGACATAAAATGATAACAATAATAATACACCAAGAACAAGACCTTGAAGAGTTAATATCAGATGCTGAGATCTGAGTCTTGACAGATAGCTGGATGAAGTGATGGAGACAAAAGCTTTTCAGTGGCACTGACAGAAAGAAATAGCTATTAGGCATGCTGTGCCCTCATAAGGGGATCTGCATTTTCCATATTGCCAGTCTTATGAAAGTGCCATCTTAAGAGGAATGGAGGAAGTGGGTGGAACAACACAGTGTTGAATGGTAAAATCAGTTCCTAGAAATCAGACTTCAGTGGCTGCTTACACTTTATAAGCATATGTGATATATGAATGTTTTAGAGCCAGTTGTTAGTCACACTTGTGAAAAACAAAATTCATGTCATATCAAACCCCATCATGAAGTCATTTTAGTCTATAGCCTGTGTTGAAGCCTTAACCATCTTTCCTCCATTCTATGCAAGTCTTATGTTTTGCACATTGTTATCTGCAGGTCTTAGATATTACAAATCCCTGTGGAGTTTGCACTGGCACTTGGATAAAGGTTTAGCCCCTTGTAAAATCTGGTGTTATGATCCAGTCATGAACAAATGCATATATGAGGATGGGAAATGTAAGAAGAGCTGGGCCTCCTCTGGACTAGTGATGAAGTGGAAGATGCTCTTCTTTAACACAGTTCTCTTCAGTGGAAAGTGTTCTGCTGTGCTCAAGTAGTTTATTGTTCATTTTGGAGCTTTTATTTCATTGGGTGTGCTAGCATGCACATGACTGGGAGAAATACTGTTGACAAGTCCACTTTCTAGTGCTTTGGACATCTTTGTAAATTTCAGAATTTCATTGTAAGCTTGCGTTTTGGATCAGAGACAAAGTAGGAAGCTAGGTACCAGCCGGTATGTTTTGAGTGTTCCACTTTCATTCATGAAGATAGATGAGCTGGAAAACCAACCTGTTGGCTTTTCTGTAGATGCGGTTGCCGGTCAAGATTTGATTCCTGAATCTGATTTTAGTTGATTTTTTTTTTAATGGAACCAGCTGCAAATATTGAGGAAGGCTGAATCTAGGTGAATGCATTTCCTTGTTGGCATCATTCAATGAAATCTGGATTTATTCACATGTCATAGTAAAGCTCAGTTACTCCATGGGATATTCTTTAGATGTATTCCAGAAAGATCAAAAAGCTGAATGTATTCAAAATAGTTTGGATATTTAACATTAATTGGCAATGCAGGATTCTCTACTGAAAAATTGCCACAGGAAGGAACATTTACAGAAGTGCAAGAATGAGAAAATGGCTGTTATTTGCCTATTCATTTTTGAGAAGGCAGACAAGGAAATGTGCTTGCGTGTACACATGCACATGCATACAAACATGTGTGCACACACACAAATAAACACATTTTCCTGGTTTTCCTCATGTAAAGGAAATAGCCCTCACCTTAGGTGGCTGGGTGGTAACCTGTCGAAGTGATAGCCTATTAAATGCAAATTCCAAGAACACCAATTAATTATTGGCAATTAGTGCCAATATAGGTGGCACTAACCTCTACATACTTGGGATCTTGAAAATTTGAATATGTAACATAACTCTTTTTTTTTTTTTTTTTTAAAAAAAACACCTTCCTATTTCTTTCTCCAAGTTAGGCTTTTCCAAGGAAGTCCTTCTCCCATTTGACAGGAAAATGAAGAACTCCTTCACTATTTCTACTCAGGCTCATTGCAACAATTTTAACACATTTTGTTGCTCCAAGTGTCCTCCCCACTTTTACTGTTAGTAGTGTAGACATTTATGGTTTGCATCCCAAACTAAACCTGATTTAAAACTTTTGAGCAGGGCAGGGTTGATATTACCCTGACATCACGGGAATTAGTAATAAAAATATATATTGCACACACTAAGAACTTATTAACAACCAAGTTAAAAACAAAATGGCGCTGTCTTCCTCAGTGTTTCTGTAACCGTGTCTCAGGGATATCTCCAAATTATGTTCAGTCCAGTTGCCCTCTCCTTATTGCAGTACAGGATGTACTTTCTTCTGCCTGTGGATTTACTGCAAAATAAACAGACACATACAAACACACAAAGAAAACAAAGGAAATGGATCTGATTTCTTCTAGAAGATCCACTGCATCGTCCCTCTTCTTGAATGGTCTGCTTTGGCCCCTTGCTGGGGTAAGGGAGACCCTGGTCTCATCCAGAAGATCCATCAAGGGACAATTATAATCCCGTTGCTCCCAGGGCCATCCCAGAGTTGTGACCCATGCATGGAATCTCCTGCATGGTTTGGGGAAAATCGTGGCTCACCACCCGTCCATTTTCTCCACTGCTGGTTCCTGCTGCAGATGCTCTGGGGAGGGTTGATGTCCGTATGGCTTCATTGATTGATTGCTGTGGGATCAAACAAAAACCCTTTTTAAGAGAAACAAGGGGGGTCTCCCCCCTGTCCTTGGTAATGGTTGGACAATAACAATATACATAATTTCTTCAATTCTTCCTCCAATACAGTTTTAAAACTTCTGTATTCAATTCATATGCTTCTAAAATACAGTTTATGCAACCTAGGAGATTCTCCTGACTGCTACTAACAGTTGTATTTATCTCCAGCAATATCAGCAGGTCGTGAAGCTTTGTTTATTATCACTAGGAGATGCTTTATGCACGCCAGGGCTTAAGGTAGACACAGAAGATACATACATCTAGTCTTCAATGTCTTGAGCTTGGAAAGGCTCATTAATGAATCCTCTTATAGGATTGTAGTTTAGGTTAGGTAAGTCACAAATTAAGGAAAATAGTTCATCTGGAAAGTGAATGAAAAATCACATTAATCAATTATTAACTGCATCATATTTAAAGGTTTTTTTTTTGTCAAGTCAAATGACTGCCAGACTGATTGGAAATTTAGATTCCCATTTTTTTATATAACATTAATATGGAGGTGGGGAGTTGATTAATATGAAAAATCAGTGGGCATAATAGGATTTCATTATTTTCTCATCTCCTAATTCTTGCCTGAAAAAAATTTAAAAACAAATAACCCAATAGGTTTTCATTTCTCTTTCTTGGTCAGTTTCCAACATTGGAAGGAAGTGTTAGGAATTGGTATTAATGAGTGGGGAATCAAGTTCTCTCCCTCCTGTTAATTCTTTTCTGAAAATGTGTGTTTTTCAAGTTCTTGTTATCATGGGATAATATCAGGTTCCACCCTTCATGAACAAATAATAACTTTGTTAATTGTTTAATACTGTTACTAACAACCGTCTACCTGAATCTTAAGTACGTCATCAGTTTAGACTATCATCCCAAAGGTGCTTTTTCAAAAGGCAACTGAACTTTCTTTGTTTTTGCTTGAAGACATTTCACTTCTCATCAGTTCTTCAGTTTTTTGGATAAGAAGTATAAAGTCTTCAAGCAAAAACAAAGAAAGCTCAGTTGCCTTTTGAAAAAGCACTTTTGGTACAACTATGACTTGGATGACAGAATCTCCATAGACATTTTGACTATCATCTAAAGATTAAACTTTCAGAACATTCTGTTTTGCATGTATTGACATGCATGGTTATTGGCAGAAGAATAATAGCCAAAGGTAAGCTGAGAAACTAAATACAAATGGTGCAAGGAACAGGTTATCTGATTTAACAAACCCTGAAGTCAAAGGTTGAATTTGGGTTTGTTTACTGAGGATTAGATTCCAAGCCTATGTTAGGCAGAAAAATGCTTGGTTCATCTAGGATTCTTTTCCTTATCAAGACAGAGAGATATATGACATCTGAAGTATGTGGCATATCAGTTAGGAAGGTTGGTTATTGCTGTTTACCAGCCATTTGCAAAATTAGTTTGCACAAGTCTTATTTCATGATCAAGACCTTCATTTCTGTAAATAGCATTAGAAAACTCAGTAGGGCAAGGAAAAGCTGTACTGAAAAATAGTGTCCTTATGGTATTCTTTAAAAATATGTACATTAAGAACCGAAGTGAACTTACTAAAATTAGTTACAACAAGCAAAGACACAGGTTAAATATTCCATTATTTCCTAGACATCTGAACTGAAAGAGGGCAAAAGCTGTACTGCTCCTGGTGCTTCTTACAAATATAAATCAACAACACATTTTTTTCGGATTCCACCAAGAAATACTTTTTCTACATAGGAAAATGAATTAATATTACATCTAAAATAAAGCTATGCCTTGGACGGTAAAATGGGCAGCATACACATTTAATGAATAAATAAAATCTCCAAGCTTTTTGCAAAAAGTGTTGTAATTAAGTATGCAGCTACTATAATTAGCTGGTTTGGAGATACTCAAGTCAAGACTTTGTACGCTTCATATGACAGTGTAAGAGTAGCCTGAGCAAATTTAGGTATGTAACAGCCTCACAGTTGCATAAGAAGGATAAGGCTTCTTAAGATTATCTAACTGAGTTATACATATCAGCAAAAAACACACATTTGAAATTTGTGAACTTTTCCTGAACAGACTCTTCTTTGGGCATTCTAAGTACCATGGAACAACTAAAAGCAACTTGTACTATGGGGAAAGACAGTATTGTGTTGATCAACTGCATGCTTTGCAAACAAATAGTCCCTAGTTTATTCTCTGGCATTTGAAAATTGGCATTGGGACAGAATCTTTTTGGAACCACAAAAAGTTGTTTCTAATCAGTGTAGACAATACAGTAAACTAAAAGATACCAAGCTGGAATAAATCAGTTTTTCTCTCTTTTGTAGAACAGAGTTTTTCTCTGTTCTTAACTAATCAAGGATGGACTCTGAAAATATTTTCCAAGGCCAGCCCAATTAGCCTAGATCACTTCCATTTTACTAAAAAAAACATGAGGAAATTTACTAGCTGTTCTGATTGATGGAGACTTGTTGAAATAAGGATGCCTGCAAAATCACTGTCAAGTTAAACATATTACTCCCTAGCCCTTGACAATTTTGGACACATGTCATTTCCAGTAAACTAGCTCACTCAGCTGAACACTAAACAGATCAGTCAGATAAAAGTTACCGCTGTCCCTAACATATTGACTTTCTATCCTAATCACCATCCTGGTTGGATCCATTTCTAAAAGCATATTAGGAGGCTGGCTGGTATCCTAAAGAAGGTGTGAAAGGCCTGTGAATGTGTTGCCACCTTCATCCGTTTTGATTCACTTCTGGACTTGTAACAAAACTCGATTAAGGCAACCAGCATGGCTAGTCCAAGACCGCCGATGAGGATGTAGAAAACCCCGGCCACATTGCTGAGACTCAGAGCACTTGTTTTGTCCTACAAGAGAAAGGAGAAGGGAAAAGGGGTGGGGAGGAAGGAACAAAGTTGTACTTTATCTTGACAAACACAAAAGGAATGCTTAACCTGATAACACTGGGGAGTCACCACTTTTAAAACACATAAGACATCTCAATTTTCTATGTTTTTTACTAGTAGCCTGACCCCACCAAACACACAAAGTTGATTAAAGGTTTCAGTGCGTTTGCAACCTTTGGAAATGATTAAGTCTAAGACATCTGAAATTATCACTCTTAACTGCTTGATCACCTTTTGCCAAGATATTGTTCCCCAATCATGCTGAACTGTGAACATTCAGACGATCTGGAGATGACAAGAATTGCACTCCCATATATCTAATGGGCACTAAGATTGGAGGAAACTAACATATGTTGCTTCAATTATTGATAAAAAGATAGCTACTTTGAGCTAATATTTACTAGTTTCCACTTTCCCTCTCCTAAAATAATTCTCTCTCTTGGAAATGCCTCTTTTCCTCTTTGACTATTTCCCCCGCAATTTCTGTTGCTAAGCAACAAATCAAAATTGCTTGTTTTAATCCTAACATGTTCCTTATCTTTTGTCCAATATTCTATTGCTGTGATACTAAGAGGTTCTGCCTTCTTTGTCTCTGCTTTTAATAGAGAAATGATTTTGCATGTATGTTATGATGCATTTTAAAACTCAATGTTTTACTGATAATGGCAATTATTAATCACCAATTAAACACTTTTATTAGAAGCCTACTTTAAACATCTTTTCTCTCCATAATAACTTCATAAGTTGGTTCTCTTTTTGTTATTATATGAATAAAAGAGATTATTTTGTTGGGATTTACCTGAAAATCTAATAAAAAATGCTTGTGCAGACCAAAAAACAATGTTATAAATTTTTGAAGTCACAGAAACAAAATTTCCAGCAAGGAAACTGGGTGAGTTTCCTTGAATCCTTAGCAAAAAAAGTTTTAAATGCAAATTTCAGGACTTAAAAAATTATCGAGTAAGCCAAAAAAGAGTGATTGGAAAGTTGATTTTGGAAACTTACAAATGGACTAAGGGTGCAATGATTTTGAAATAAGATACAGAAATTAATAATATCTTCCAGTGAAAAAATGCTGCTATTTTAAATGTTATAGAATAGGATTTTCTCTTTTTTCTTTTTTAGTGAGTATTAGTTTTTACAGTTTGTTAAAAACTTTAATAAAATAATTTTAAAATAAACCTACTTTGAAGGATTAGATTAGCATTCATTTTATATTTACATTAAACATGCACACACAGATGCACATAGACAAGGAGGAAATGTGAAGTATGAATGAGACTTTCAAGATTAGTTGTGTCTACATTTCATTCAAATCTCAAGAATTTTTTTAGGTTTTTAAAGTCTGAGTGGTAGTAGTTTAGTTGAATAGAAGTGTTGTAACCCTTTAAATGGAATTTAAATGTTGATATGTGTTGTATTTAAATAGACTAATAGACTAAGTCAATCTTAAACTGCAGAAAGATTCAGACTTGAACAAGTCTCATTTTTAGAGAGTATGTGACTATTAATCCCCAATCTCATAACCATACTCCACAAGACCAGGGAAGGGGGGGATAATATGCGAAGTAGGATTTCCAAGGCTGGCTGAAGCTTGCCTGGAGAAAGATACTGAGCCAGATGCAAAGAGATAATGTCACAATGTAGATTTATATTGGAAAAGTACTTCTGATGCTTCCTGTAGCTTTTCGGTTCTCATATTTTCTCTGATAGAAGGATGTAATTTCTAATTGCAATGAGATTCTTTGGAGAGTGATGATTGTCTTGCTATCGCTGGTCTTTCCTGGTTGGAAATTGGCACCAGGTCACAAGCACACATTGCAGAGGCAAGGAAGTAATTCCTGCCTGCTGTGGCTTGCTTTACCTTCCTGACTCTGCAAGGCCTTACTTGCTGTTCCAATCCCAACCCGATTTAATAGCATTAATAACAACAGTGCAGAAGGAAAGGCACCAATCCCACACAATAATGCCCAAGAGAATCAAAACCCTGTTGCGGAGCAGCAGAACTCTGCCATTTGTGCTTTGTGAACAGATGCCTTCCCAAGGAACCTGCCCATCAGGCAGCCAGCTTATTAGTGGGAGTGTAAATGTCACAGCTTGTCTCCTGCAGAGGGAGAGTGACATCGGAGGGGAGAGGAAGACTTGCAGGTAAAAAGTAAGCAGCCAGCCCAGGCTTTGAGAAATGCACCAGCATCGTTGCCATGGCAACTGGGCCTTGCTTGGTTCTCTTCAATCAGGGGCAGCTTATCCATCATCTTGTTCTTGGGTCTTATGACAAATAGTCCTTCAGGCTCAAGTTTGCTGGGTCTCCTTTCACCTTTTGCATCCGTGAAAATCAGACTGAAAAATTTAACATTACTCTTTGATATAGACATAGATATTGAATGCTTGTGCCCTGGATCCACCCTAACCAGTGTGCTATGGAAAGCTGTTGTTTTTAGGTACTTTTACTTGAGATTCAACAACTGTTTATCCCTTCGTGTTCCAAGGGATTTCTTCTGGATCAATGTTTGAGAAAGCCATTTCTCAAAAGTGCTACAGTATGCGTGGAAGTAACCACATTACACTGATAAAACAAGAGATGTCGTAATAAAACTTCTAAATGCCTTCCTAGAAGAGGGGTACATTCAATGGAATATTTATATCTGTGTGGGACATATCAGAATAGTAATCACATTTAATGTGAAAAAATATACACAGGGAAGACAGACATGATGTAACTAAGGTATGAATAACTATGAGGATGGACTCTCAGGCTCCACCAGATGAATCTGGATAAAAACTCTCCTGGCCGTAGCTGCTAACATCTCTCCAAGGACTTCTAAACTGCAAACCAATTCTATCTTATGGATTGTAGCCTCATTCAGAACTCAAGACTCTTGGAACTAGAAAAAAAATCAGAAACACCCAGCCATTCTGTCTTGTCAGTACTGAGTTTAAGCCTGTTTCCACCCGTCCAGACCTCAACATCATCCTGGGACAAGAATTTAACAGTATTCATTGAGAGGTCAGTGTACAGATACCTGTTCATAAATGGCCTTATGGCCATAAGTGGTTTCATGTAGATCTTAAACAGAAGGGATGAGAGTATCAAGTCATGTGGGACCTCACAAGTCAGGGGCCTGCCTTGACCTCTCTTTCCCATCTCCTAAAACAGAATTTAAGATGCTTTAAAACAGAAGAGTTTATAGCCATAGATTTGGCAAGAGTAAGCTCTTGATGCTCAGTTGAGGAGAATCCTTTAGAGAGCCAGTTGATTTCCTCTGGCCATGCCGTACTAGCAGCGTGGGCAAAAAGTCTACTTCTGTGAAATGCTGAATGATAGTGTCAAGCACTGTACAGTACACTACTTGTTATATTAGTGCGAAACTGGCCTGACAAACAATAGAAGAAATAAATTATATATTAAAGCTAGGAACAAATAGACTTTTGAAATTCTCTATGCTATTTATGTGCTGAGAAATTGGATGGATAATTTCTTTCATGTTCTCTAAAAGAAAGATTCGTTCGCCAATTTCTCAAAGGCAGAATTCCTCCTTAGTAGGAACAGTACCATGACTACTGCAAAACAAACTGATGATCTAAGGAAAGGCTTTTGTTGGGGTTTAATTGTAACACAGGAAGATGGGGAAGCTGCAGATGAAAGATGAGACATTCACAAACATGCAGACAGACACATATATTTTGGTTGCCTTATCACTTATAATATTAGAATATGCATTTTATAATGTTTTTTTAAAAATCTCTTTTCCTTTGCAATAGTTTCTAAAGCATTTTCTCTTTGATCAAATGACATGGCAACTCTTAGGGGGGAAAATATGTACCTGACAGTATTTATATATTATGAAGCTAATGCACGTGTATAGGTATTTCAGTTCTAGAAGGCACCTGACTGGGTTTTGTACACAGTCATAGATTTTAAAACAGATGCAGGCAGAAGGGCAATGAATTACTTTATTTAACCAGGCAAACAATAGGAAAGGAAAGGGAATTGTATTCTAGTTAAGCTTTGGCAATGGGTTGTGAGAAGGTGGAAGTAAACTAAAAGAAGTCAGTTGGGAAAAAAATTGGGAATACTCTTTGTATGTAGACATTTAATGATCTGCCGGGAATTAATCTCATCATCTGGAGGAAAACAGTTAACAAAGAAGTTGGCAAGAGATGGAGCAAGACAGAATGAGAAGCACAAAATCGATGTCTGCCTACATCAAAGCTCTTTCACTGAAGGTTTCTTTCATTGTTTGATTGCAGCTTGACCCAGTTTGCGGCACTAGGGATTAGCTGAATGTCAGAAAAAATGACAAGGAAAACTTATAGCTCTTAATGCAACTTAATATTCATATCTTTGTAATTAGAATATTGAATTCTTGTAGTCTTTAATATTTTAATAAGTTGCCTATTTCAGTATTAATATTTGTTTATGGATGGTTAAACTTTGCCTTCATTATATTTTTTGTTGAATATCTGTTGACTAGTGGTGGGGTAGGGGAGGGACGGAGGCATCTACTACACAAATCATGAAGTAGAATTTAGAAAAATACACATTGCTTAAAGTTGCAAAACCCAATCTAGGTCAGTCGTCGGGACCAGAGCTTTCGGACTCATATTGAAGCCCCTTAGGGAAATTATCTCTATGGGAATATATGCCTTGGGTTATTCTATACATCATACTTATGTAGTGCCTTCCTATTGGTTGATTGATGTGTTGATGGCTGGTGATTGGTTGTTGTTTTTTTGTGCTACCAAGTCCTCAGTTTCTAAGTACTGATCCAGATTGCATCTTGCAACATTATCTTGCGACATGTATATTTGCCTTCATTTATTGTTTAAAATTTTCTTTCTTTTGGAGGTGCCATTACAAGAGCTATGTTTCCAACCATTATTATTTTCTGCATTATCTTTCCATTTTCAATTTTATTTCATAGTGACTTTCCTGTTTATTTCTATGGTTAACTATTGGTGGAATAAAAATAAAAAACAGAAGCAGTTTCTGAAGTAGATGGAAAGTGCATTCGATGCATGGTGGGTGAGCCATGTATCATGTTAAGTTTTAAAAAGAGCAATAATAGTATATTTTCATTCACTTCAAGAAATTAAAAATATGGATGGGGTAAACTGGATGTTCACTGGTATTACCACTGCTAATCATGTGTGTTTATTAAGATAATTTTATAGTTATTTAGAAATTAGTCTTGTACCCATTTGAAGTTGAATAAACTACTGAACAGAGGTGGTGGATTATTATATCACAAAAGAAACACTGTAGATTATTTTTAGAACTGATCTGATCCTGACTTAGTTCTTCAAAACAGAACTAATCTTTTGATATCTCCTGCATTTCTGATGAGTAGCTTACTGCTCTTCAAATTACTTTAAAAGTCAGAAAATACACTCTATTGCTTTCCTTTAACTCATTCGTTTTCCTAAAATGTGGGTTCTATCTACAACACTATATTACTTTCATTCATCACTATCCAAATCCAAACAAATATTTATACTCATTGTCACAGAGCTCTGTGCATCCAAGATCTTTGTAGTGTTTTAAAAATTAGATTCTCCAAACCAAGACCCTTCTGAATGTAGGCAAAATAGAAAAATATAAGAATTCATTTGGCACTTTCATTCATGAGAGTTGGAATCATTCAGTCATTCCTAGCTAGAACAAGGAAAAAAATTGTCTTGGTTTCTTCTTCTTGTGCTATGTCCTTCACTGAACGTTGGCAATCATGTTGGATGAAAAGTGATGGATGGCATGGTTTCCATTCATTTCTCTTTCCTAAGTCCTGGTGATGTCCTCTTTGGAGGACCACACATTTCAATCTTATAAAAATCTATTAGAGTTTGGTGTTTTTTTTTAATCTATAGATGTAAGTGTTCAGATTGCTAATCCGTTTTCTTTTTAAAAAGTATCCTTTGCCTTATCCATTCCCCCCTTTTAAATTAAACATTTGAAGAGGACATATTAAAAAATAAGAAAAAGAATCAGGAAATGAATATATAATGAAAACTGATATTTAAAAACAATTTATTTAAGTTAGATGATTTCCCGCATTAGATTATTTTAATCTTTCCATTAATGGTCTTTTCCTATGATCAGTTTAAAAGTACCATAGATCCCTCTTTCCTTTTTGTTGTTTTGTAATCCTTTACTTGTGGGTAGGAGGGATAGGGGGATATTGTGTAGCATATTAGCTTTTACTTGCAATTGTTTGTAAATTTTTCTTTAGTTTTTCTATTATTACTCTGGATTTGTACTAATTTTCATCATTTTATGGAGAAGTAATGTAGAAACATTAAAATAAATAACTGGAAACTAGGCAGAACCATATTATTGCTACATTTATGTCTATTTGGCTTTGAACCAGCTTTGACTCCTGGCAACTCTCATGAACAAGTATATGATTTTTTTTTTTTGCTAATGTTTTGGGGAAATAACTTGCCACTGCCTTCTTCCTAAGACTGAGAGAGAGAGAAATGGGTCCAAAGTCACCCAGTTCACTAAACATAGGACTAGAACTCAGAGTTCCCCAGTTTCGGGCCCTGAGCTTTTAACACTTCACCAAGTTCTAATATAATTTGTAAGATTAGTTTGTGTAAGAGCCACTAAATGATTTCTACATGGATGTCACATTATTTTGAATGAAAATTCCACTCTGGAAATCATTTTTCCTTCAAAGTATTATAAATGATGTCATATTTGCTGCTCTCTTTTCAGTGCTATTAAGATCACAATTCCCTTTATGCTCCCTTTGGAGTGTCATTTTTTTCTCTGTTCCATTACTTTGCCCACTATGTGTACATATTATATTGATATGACTCTCTACATGAAGAGTATGTGTCCCTTGCTAGGGGGACAGTCTGTCTGCTATGAGATTCCAAACTCTGGTACTATTATGGCCAAGGGGGATTTGGCAATACACTTTTGTTTTCAATGGGTAGGCATGACCTCTTCAGGGATAACTGACCTTACTTCCGGAGTCTTTGCTTCCACACTCCCCTTTATCGTACCACCATTTGCTTTTCAGCTTGTCTAAGACGCCTTGCTCACTGAGTTTCAAAACCGCTAGGTTTACAGGACCTCTTCAAACCAGGGGGGGAAATAACATAAATAACATTACCAATGTTATTTTATGTTATTCAACACATACAGTTCATTCACAGCATTCATTATACAAGTTATACATTGACAAAGTGATACAATTGAATACTCCATCTGGCCACCCCGCCCTCCTCCAGCATCCCAGCCAGCCCCACCACTCCCAACACATTCTCACCCTTCTTTTCTCCAGCATAGCAAGATGAGTATTACTATATCACTTTGAGTAACCAGCAACCTCAGCCATCTGCCAAGAGATACTTGCAAGTGGCCTTGCTAATGCTGATCATTGTAGACCATTAACATCTGCAGGGCAATCAGCCAAAGCAGAGCCCTGCACAGTATCTCAGTCTCCTATCCATAATCATGCTTAAGAGATCCAAAGAAACTTTAAGCGTGGGAAGTGGGGAAAGGAGGGATGTATTTCTAGGAAAGCTTTAGTGCTACGAGCAGCAGTGGTTGCAATCCCTTCTTCTAGAAGAAGAGCTGCCACAATGGCCATGCAGGCGCATCTAGTCCCATGGACTCCTTTCCCATGTCACCATTAATCAAGAGCACCTATCCTCACCGAGGAAGAGAGAGATATCCAAGAAGGTTTGTTCTCCCCAAGTGATTGAATGCAAAGGCAATGTGGTTGCTGGTTACTATCCATGCGGTTTATACCCACTAGATTTTCTTACTGAGGCTGACCTTGGAGTCACCTCCCCCGCTGCCGCACTCGCCCTTGTCGTACCACCATTTGTTTTTCAATTTGTCCAAAAGCCCCTGCTCGTTCAGTTTTAACACTGCCAGGTTTACTGGGTTTCTTTAAAATGAATAGATAACACTCGATGAGTAACAGGCGGAGAACACTCGGAAAGTCATGTGACAACAAGGGATCGGTGAACCAGCACCCTTCAATCTGATCCAATATTCTCCCCCAGTAAGACTGTGTCCCTTACAATTAAAATAACAGCGGGGATGGCGAGTGATGTAACACTCCCTGTGAGTGGGAGAAATGCGACAGAGAACAGAATCACAAAGGAGATTTGTTTTCTTTTTTCTTTTTTTGCTTTAAGCAACAAATGCTCACTCGGGATGTCATCTTCTACAGCTGCTCTAGCGGTGAAATAAAATTTGATCCCAATTGGCATAGGGTTGGCTTCTGAAAGAATGAAGTGCAGGAACAGCGGAAGAATCATTTGCCCAGCTGCAGTTGTAAACTCAATAATTTGGCTATTTGCAGGGGGGGAAATGGATGTAATAATTTAGAATGCGGTGGGGAGGGAGTCTGGCTCGCCTATTCCTCCTGAGTGATCCTCATGTCACAAAAGACATATAAAAACAATGATCAATAATAATTTCTGTTTAAGGAACAAAAAGAAAAAAATCAGTTTAAGAAGTGTAACATCCAAATCAATACAGAATTGAGAGAACACTTCAGACATTTCACAACATACAAACACAGAAAAAAGGAGACCCTCTTCTGATTAAATTCTTAGGATTCCATTGAAGTCAATGGGCTAGATTTTATTTACTACACTGGTTACATGAGAATGAAATTGAATCAGTTAGCCCTTCTCCATAAAGAGGTGTGACAGCATCAACAATATTGTGGTTTCAGCCAATTGGGTGCTATATGCTTCAGTATCAGGTTAGAAAAAAAGGAAGTTTGGGATAAGTCACTTGTCTACAAGTCTCTCTTCATTTTCCTCAAGTTTTGCTGTCATAATTTTATGCCATGCTGTTTGTAAGTTATTATATAGGCTTGCATTTTCAGTATCCGTTTCTTCTGCTATCTGTACCATATTATACAGAGATTTTATGTTAGCTTTTTAAAACTATTGACATTTCAAGTCAGCATTAGTATTAAAACTACCCTACATAAAAATCTGATTAAATTTTTAGGACCCCTGTTAAGTGGAGTAGATATTGCAGGTAGTTCAAAATTCGTTTGCCTATCTTATGATATAGATGACATAAGATTTGATTTAGACCAAGATGATGACTGATACACACAGGTCATATATAACCCAAAGTATTTGGAACAAGTAGCTCTCTCTTTAAACTCATAGAACATTTCCCAGTGTCTGAAAGTCCAAGACTTTTTGCAGAAAAAAAAGAGTTCTGCCATCTTTTTCTCTGAAATGTGTTAGTTTTTCTTAATCTTTGACAAGGAATGTTTTATTCATTTAAATGTTTTGTGATAATTGGCATAAAGATTAATGGGACTCCAGGGGAGCTATGTTTATAGTTTACCGGTTTAAAAGGAAAACCAGTTCTGGAACAGATTTTCTGCTTCTCTCTCCCTTAAGGTTAAAATACCCTTTTACCTTAGTGTGATTCACCAATATTGGCCATTCTTCGTTGTTTCAAATTTAATATAGAATTAATAGGAAAAATTAAGCTGAAGGTATGGCATATCCATCGAGAAGCTGAAGAGAGTATAACCGTTAGCTGCTGTGTACTGAAGGAGCAAGAAAAACTACTGTACGTGTATTAATGTTTTAATCAGTCATGTAAGGCTTCTTACATGTGTACACTTGGGCTACCAATCTTGCATTTATATATAAGTGCATGTGGCACACTCAGGTGTGGTCCTCAAATATTGCCTGTTAAGGTGTATTTTGGCAGCTACTCTGAAATTAGATGCAACAGACCCCCTCCTAAAAAAACAGCTATGTAAATCAGCCATTCCAAAACTGCTTTGTGTCCAAATGTGTTGAAATAAAAATTAACAGCCAGCAAGTGGTTCACATTACTATTTCAATGCTACTGGACAACCCAATATAAATATGGCATTATTCTCTATGGTTTTGGACCACTAATACTGCAAATATGCTGAATGTTTCTTGATATAATTTCAATTCCAGCTGTTCCCTCCCCATCAAATTAAATGACTATATAATCTCCACTGAGTCAGCTATTAATAATATCTAGAAATGTAGTATTAACTTCTAAAGAACATTATATAAAGGTTATATTTTGTGGGAATCTTTCAGATTTTCATTTGGCTAAAATAAAAATGAAGGAATTGTATTTTTCTAATACAAAATTATTCGGGCCAAGTCTCATCTAAACATTCAACAGTTAGTTTCCAAATATCATTAAAATTAAAAATCTTGGTGAGTATAGTTCTTAGATCTATGCTTTAAAACATCCTAATAATTCCTAGATGGCATACAGATATAGATACAGATACATCTAATGATCTAATGGCCATCTGGATTTTTTCAGCCCTGATCTTCTGTAGAATTAGGAAGAAATCTTACTGAAGAATGAGCAACTGGAAGCTGAAGAACTTACTTCTAAATAAGCAGGTATCAAATTATCCATAAATTTCATGCATGTAGCTTAATCCGTCCTTATAATCTAGAACTGTAGCTTGTGATGACATAAAACTTGGGAATCAGTAGAGTGCTTCAACAATAGGTATTTCCCAGGATAGTTTGGGAAAAATGGGATTAACCAAACAATCCGAACCCAGTTAAAGAAGTTGCAATGATGGAAGTAATCAGGGAAGATTTTAATATGCAGCCACTCTTTGATAGTTTTCTAGGATGTTATGGATCAGTTTCCATAGAATTAGTTACATTATTTCAGCCTCTTCCCATAATAGATATGCCCATTGTTTTCATACTGAATGAAGACAACGGAGTCATATATTGAATTGTATGATTTCTCACAGTTCCAATTTGAAATTAAGTCTTCAGATGTTAACTCATCAACTTAATTAAATAATAATTTGCACTTAAACATTATACTATGATGGAACATTACAGTATTTAATATAAACTAGTTAGAAATGTGAGAAAGACCTGAAATCAATAATCACTAATTCTTCCTAAATGATCCATCACATCTGGGGAATCATTTGTAAAATAGGTACCTTCACATATAACATTATGATCTGATTGACTTCAATGGTTAAATTTATACTGACTTAGAAGGAACACTCAGTCAGTCACAAAATAAGATGCAATTGGGTATTCCCAGATAGTGGAATAGATGCTAGAAGTTGTCTGAAGAGCATATAGCATTAGATAAACAGTTAAAATGACCACAAATAATGAACATAATGAGACAGAAACTGAGGTCATATGTATAAAAAAGCACCATTAGATCCAATGGAAAAGCAAAATGTTCCCTCCTGGTTGCTTCTATTGAACTGGAAAGTAAATCAAGAACAAATATGTCTAACTTATTCTTCTGTCCCACTCTATTGACATATCACAAGAACATTTTGAAAAAGAAGATGAAATCAACAGTAGCATTTGTTTCTCTCTCTCTCTTTCTCTCTCTCTCTGTGGTTGGGTATACTATGTGTATTTGCATCTTAAAAGAAAAAAAGAAATTATTTTAATATACATTTAGGATTTACATTGAAAATTAACATTGGAAATCACATCTGGCTATGATGTTCTTTGTCCAATCTCCATGTTGTCCTTTGTTCAATCATGTCTACACCTTGGTTTTTTTCCCTGGCAGTTCTTGTCTTTCCCCCACTGAATATCTTGGTTGTAGTGAGAAAATCCAAACATATTTGTTACTTTATTATATTTTGTGGATAATAGCATGGGATATGTATTCTTTGCATACCTAAAGTGCTGGTGGATCCCTACAATCTTACCTTCTACCTAATCCCATTTACAGACCTTTTCTCTGCATAGCTATTGTCTTTTCTGTCTTGGTTGGCAGGATTGTTGTAATCTTTTCTTTTGCTGAACCACTTGCATTTTGTGTATTATGATTGTGGATGCTACATTCTGTCTACAATTTTATGGACAACACCACATCTTTTTTGCAACATTTGCATACAGTACATGTTATTAACTAAGTTCTATCAGTGGCTAATGGAGATAATTGTCCTTTCATCCATTTGTTGTCTATCTAGCAGGAAAACACTTAGCTTTTCCATTTAGTTGTCCTATATAGAATTGTATTTCTTTGCTCAGACATGCACATACCTAAATATTTTTAATACTAGAATCTCTTTAACCAAAGAAGAGATATAATAGATATTACACAATTGGCATGCACACCAGAAAACAATCACATTATTTCAAAATAATGCCCCATTAAGCAGTAGCCAGGTTCTCACAAATTTCTTTTGTTCTTACACTTTGGGCCAATTTAGCAAAGAAACAAATATAGGAGTGAGGCTACAACATTCAGGAATCCTGGAAGACCTATCACCATTTCCCAGCTCATAATTACTTTTCCATTTTCCTTCTTCCCCCTGTTTTATTAGCTATAGTGTGGTAATGAAAATTAGCAGCATGTTTATGGATGCATCAACTGCTGGGGATGAAGGGAAAGAAGCAACACATTCAATCTACCTACCTCAGTGGTGAACCTTTTGGCGTTGCAATGCCATAGCCTTTGGAATCCAAGTTACCTCCCACTTTCATGGTGTCACATGGTTTTCTCTGTTCAATGTACTCATTCATGGTGGACTCTAGCAGGTAGGCATACTTCCCTTTGGATCGCCTCACACGCTTCATCCCCTCTTCTGTTGTCGGCACGAAAACAGAGGGCTCAGCTGACTTCATGTACGTCCACATCTTCTCAAAAACCGCTATTTTAGATCTCTGTCCAGAATAGCATAAATCCACTGCTCTTAGCATGCGTTAATACACAGAGCAGAGATTCATACACCAAGGAAGACACAAATTTGTTGGGCTGTGTGTGCCTACACGGTGCACAGCTAAAGAAAGGATATTACTCAAATTAGGGGCTGGTTTATAGAGGTGAACAGAGAAATGGATGGATTGTATGAACTGGTGCCATTCATTGGCACATTTTATGGGATAAAAATTACCTCAAGCAGAAGGGAGATAGAAGAAAAAATAATTTAAAACTTAAAAGCTTTTGTGAAAGCCAAATTCTAGGAATTATGTTGGAAGTGGTAGCACATTTGCTAAATTCTAATCCTAAAAAGGAAATGTAATTTAGTGGCAAAGTGGAAAGCATGTAAACAAGGTGTTTCAATTTGAATTCCTCAAATCTCTGGTGTTTAAAGGATATTGGGACAGGAAAGCCTCCTGGGAAACAATTGCCACTTGGAATAGACAACACTGAAATAGTCTGACTCCATATTAGTCAAACTCATCAGACTGAGAATAAAAGCAACAGAACTGTACTGCAGTCCACAAACTTGAGCAGGAAGACTGAAGAAAACATTAGAGAGAAGTGAGAGACAGAAGACACTAGACCACAGAAAAGAAGTGTACTTTTCGTGGCTTGGTATATGTAAGCCACTGTTGAATAACTTAAATATATTTGCATATTGTAAATGGTGCCATTAAATTACAGAGCTAACTAAGTATTTATTATTCTCTAAACCTGAGCTACAAGTCACAGGGTAATTACTTTTGATGCTGCTAAGTGTAATTACTCAGTAATCTGTGGAAGCGTATAATTACTCCATGTTTCAAGGGTATTTATGGTATCTGGCAGATCGGGTATCTTTCCTGGGCTAGCATGTGTCTTGCATTTTTGTACATGAAAATCAGAACTAATTTCTCTTACCCGAAAGAATTCTTTAGTAGAACCACCATCCAAAGTCCCATAAGCAATCTCTGTTTGCTTGGCCAAGTCTTCTGCGCTCTCTATGGGAGACACCATCCTCTCTACTGTTAAAAATGCAGCTAAATTGGCCGTGTAAGATGAAATGATGATCAAAGTAAAAAACCACCAAACTCCACCAACTATGCGTCCAGACAGGGATCTACCGAAAAAGAAAATGTAACAAAAGATACAATGAGAAAAAAAAAAAAAAAAGAAGGGTAATATGTAGAATCTGTTTCCACAGTAGCACTAATGGAATAATTATTGTATTAGATTGTTATTATATTTTGTATTTTAATCCTGTTTTAAGATGGGAATGACAGCCATTTATAGTCCTTTCAGATTGCAACCTATAAAACTCAGGAAATGAATGAATTCTTGGTAAACAGCATTCACAATTAGCTCTTGGCCTAAATGAGGATGAAAAATTAGCTAGACCTACATTAACAGCTGCCAGTTAGCTTCACTAATAACTTAATCTCTATACATCACTATTATCAATTACCTACTAGGACACCACTAATATAGCATGGAAGAAATACATTGATGGAAGAAAAAATGAGGGTTTTTTTAAAGACTAACTGACATCTATCGCCATCATCCTCAATTTGCCACTGCAGATAGTTCATAAAATGTAGAAAATCGTCATACGAAAAATGAAACAATGGAAGAACAGAATGGGGTTTTTGTTATCACAATATAATAAAAGGAAGACCATTTGCACTGACCAGCATGAAAGTCTTGCCTCTGTGTTGCAGAAGAAATGAGATACGTAATATCACATATATACGCTTATGGACATTAATTTAATAAATAAAATTTAGTTAGCACATTGATATATTTTTTGTCCGGTGCAATAGATATGATTAATATAAGTAAAATTAGGCAGAACAGGAATTGAAGTATTGAAATTCTTTGTAAAACTGAAGTGAGACTATATTATGTACATGTGTGGCAAGAAAAAAAAATCTCTATAGGCCTTCAGCTCAGCCCATTTCAAAATTAGTAACAAGACAGCTTTATAGTGTAAAAAGAAGAATGTTCTTTTAAAAAAAAATAAGAAACAAAATAGTGGCATTTAAACTTCCTTGCTTTCTAATGGAAAGCTCACAGAGTAAAGAAAATAGCTGCCTACAGTTCTATAGGTTTGTTGTGAAGAAACCTATATATGTTAACATTTGGGAAAGGTCTTATTCTAGCTGCTTTATCTGGCAGAAAATACTCATAGAAAGGGATGGTGTGAACCCAGCCATTATGTTGGTTTGTTTAAAAAGCCCAACAAATCAAAGTAATTTCATCCATAGATCCCTCTCTGTTTTTTTCCACTGCATGCTTTAGCTTTATTGGACTACCAAACATATAATTATTTGTAAAAGTGGTCCATCGGTATTCATTCATCTATTTGTTCTGCTTCAGTTTATTTAAAAGAATTCCTGCAAGTACTTTTAAAATAGTTGGAAAATGAATTTCTAGTGATGTCTAGTCTCATTTATGATATCTTTTGAAAAGCTAAAATCCTATTAAATTCAGTAAAATGTACTTCACGAAGAATGCTACATTATAGTCCTCATGATACACTCTAACCAGTATTGCGAATTACAAGCCTATTTTTTCAAAATTTTCTTTGGAAGATAAAAGGATGCAATTCAAATAGCATCTATATTTCTAAAATGTGAAATTTACATGTCTCAGGGTGTCAATCTACTTTGGGAGAGTTTTACTCATTACAGCATTGAATATTATTTATATTACCTTGCTTTAAATTCCATCCAGAATTGGCCTCTGGAAGAGATATGCATTTGATGTACCTATATTTCCAGTGGCATTCATTAATAAATCTTCAAGTTTTAGGAGCCATTATAGTACTTAAACATGGTATAAAATGCCCTGGAAATATATATATTTCCATATCCCTATAAGAGTACCTTAATCTCCTTTCTGGTACATGCATGAGAAAGGCTTAAGACATTTTTAGATGTATTGGTATTTGTCTCCCCCTCCCCGAAGCTGTCAGTGTCTAATGACATCTACGAGGTAAATAAAATTGGTTATGCTTTGTTATCCATAACTTAGGAATAGAGTCCAGTGACAGAAGGGACTGGGAAGGGTCAAGATAGGGATCAGCAATAAGGAGAGAAAATTTCATGCTAGTATAATTTATGTCAATATAGAGAAAGGGAAAGATTCTTAGCTTGGTCTGAAGGGGGGAAATGAAATCCATCTTTTTTACTGCAAGTATAAATACCATCATCTTTGAATTTCTAGAAAAATATACAAGATTCAGAAAAAAATAACTCTTTAACAAATGTCTGACATTTTCAGATAATATTCCTAGATGAGTCTAAAATGGGGTCTGATACTTTGTAATTCAAATGTATGTGGTTGTCTAGGCCTTATCTTTTCTTTCTGTAAAAACCATGTTATTGAGGCACAATATGATTCATTTATTAACTGCAAAGTTGTTATTGTTAACCTGCAGTTTTAACCCCCTAAAAGATTATCATTGGGAAAAAAAATGAAAGAAATATTAGTGAAATAGATGAGGAAGGTACATATGAAGATTATCATTATCTGGTCCCTATTAAATTAACAAGGCAGGGGAATTCTTCAGTGTGAAGTCTGAGAGAATATAACAGCAAGGTAGCTATTTTCTATTCTTCAGATTTGTGAAAGAAGTGAAAATAGAATAATGTAGCATCAGGGTGAAACTCCAACTGGTAAACCCACTCTTGTTACAATATTGTGTCTTTCTACCTTACCAACTGTGCAAATTATATGTTGCCTTTGTAATTTTTAAATGGCTGGCATTTTGTGCCCAGAGTTGAGGCTCTTAGGACTTTTTTTTAGTATTTAATCTTCTATACTTTCCCAGCCTGCAAGGAAAATTCAATTGCCAAAAATAAATAATACCTCAAATCACTCTTTCAGGAAGGGTTTTTTCAATTCAGTTCTATAATTTAATGGAGGTCAAGTTATAAAGTTAGGGCAACTCCAACGTCAGAAGAGAACAGTTCCAGTCCTCTGTGGCCTGCCCTGCATAATAACCCCTTGCTAAGGCAAAACAGAAAACCTCTTTTCATTGTCATCCAAGAAAAATAGTCTGGTTTTTTTGGGTAATATTTCAACATATCATCAAATAGACCCTAAAGTATCAAAATATTCTGAATTTGGCTATTTGCTCATTGTCCTTCCCCGAGGCAATGGGTTTCTCCAAAAGAAGATAGAGGAAATCCTTAACTTATGACTATTCATTTAAAGTTATGATGTTGCTTATAAAATAACTTATGATCCATTCTCACGTTTGCAGTTACTTGCGGTATTCCCATGTGATCACATGATTAAAATTCGGGAGCTTGGCAATTTGCATGTATTTACAAGAGTTGCAGCATCCAGGGGTCATGTTATCACCAGGTGCAACCTTCCCAGGGGACTTCTGACAAGGGTATAGCCCAATTCGCTTAACAACTACTTGATCAATTTAATGACTGTGGTAATTTGCTTAATAACTGTGGCAGAAAGGACATAAAACTGGGTGTGATTCACTTAACAACTATTTTCTTACTGGTGGAAGCTCCAGTCCCAATTATAATACTAAATTGAGGACTATCTGAGCCATGGTGGCACAGTGGTTAGAATGCAGTACTACAGGCTACTTTTGCTGCAATTTAGCAGTTCAAATCTCACCAGGCTCAAGGTTGACTCAGCCTTCCATCCTTCCGAGGTTGGTAAAATGAGGACCCAGATTGTTGGGGGCAATAGGCTGACTCTGTAAATTGCTCAGAGAGGGCTGTAAAAGCACTGTAAAGTGCTATTGCTACCTGTATAAAACAAGTGGTTATTCTTAACTTTGCACCCCTACCATTGTAGATATGCTTTGGAATTCTGGGAATGGCAATTCCAATGAACATAAATGTGTCATGTTGGAGAAGGATAGTTCTACGTCCAATAACTATCATGTCCTCCCAAACTTTCAAAAACACAGATTTGAATCATATCCAAATGTAGCATGTCCAAATTTAATTTTATATTTAATCTGAGAATTAATGAGCCTGAGCCATTAAACTACTTGTAGAAAAGTATTTGGGGAGGATACCAGGTTACATACTGTTGTGGGAAAAATACCCACTTAAATAAGAAACCAAAATGTTTGGAAATAGATGGAGCAAGATATCCTTCATTGGCTTGCACAATTGCAGGGATCCCTGGGCTCCTGGCAGAAAGAATCCAAAAGAACCCTGAGGTTACAGATTTTTTTTCCTCCTTGCCAATCACTTAGAAGCACTTATAACACACTACGCATAAGAACAATTGCCTAACATTGACTGTCTTCATGCTTGCTGTTAAGGCCACTTTAATTGGCCTTATTTGTATGCTACCTCCAGCTGCAATTTATAGAGCTTTTCTTTCTCTCTAAAGCTGGGCTGCTCATATGGCTCAAACTGGTTCAGTTGCTATTAACTTGATCCCAGACTTCAGATCTCAGCTTAATTCCTTAGTCCCAGTGGATCTGTTACAGAGAGATTACATGATTTGTTCTATTGGATTGTCATTTCTGAGGGAAAAGAGAAATGGATATATTGGCATAAAGGACTGAACAGAGACATGATCAACTACCCCCACACCTACTCTATTTATAACTGAACAATTTTAACACAAAAATAAGCTACATTCAGATACTGTACAACAGTCATTCCAATACAAATGTATTGGGGTATTCTTTCCAGAATACCTAGTTAGGATTCTGGGAGATTTATCCCAATTTTTCCAAAAGCTGTAATGGTCGGGAAAACTGATGAAGATGAATATTAGCACTCAACAATATCAGCTAAACTGGAAAGCAGGAAATCTTTTAGAATGGGTGATACAAAAAATGAGATACTTCCTGAAAAGATACTCTGCAGGAATAATGAATGCATGAGAAGCTTAGGAAGAAGAACTGGTGAAAATATGTTTCTGTGGCATTAATTTCTTGGTCTGGGCTACCTAGTAGGGTCACAGTTTCTGTCTACTTGTTCTTGTACAAATCCTTGTTCTTCGTTGAACCCCAATGCTTCACAGGAGTAGAAGAAGCTCTTCTTTTCAAGGAATGGCCAATCTGAAAGAGACTCTTGGTAGAGGCGTAGCTAAGTTTAGTTTAAATCTAAGAGATAGTCCAAACGT